AAAGAAAATAAAAGTGCGGAAAAGAAAAGCCTGACATTGGGGTGTCACTATTCATGAGCATCTACTACAATTTGTTTGACAATATCAAGACTAACATAGTCTAGAAAATAGCTAAATACAACTAAAGGAAGATAAGAGGGAGAAGAGCAAGGTTGCGATCGCCACGCAGCTACCTTTTTATCTTCGAGAAAATCTGTAACCAGAATAATCAACAACGGCTACCGTGTCCAGCTACACCTGGAACTGCACACAAGGTGCAGGGAGTAACGTGAGTACGCCAACTCAGTAAGTATCAACAGTAAATAAAGGTTGAACAGTAGTGACGAGCAACAAAGCATATAAAGTTCATATTATGAAATCTCGGTAAAATACAACATGCTTTAAAAATTAGTGTTTGAATCAAATCATCTCGTTTAAAACCCAGTTCCAGTAAAAGTCATTTAAATATATTTTTCAACAGTTTCAAACAAAGGCTCAAATGCAAAGGTGAGCAAAAATGATGAAATCATAAATAGCACCTCGGGCATAACATCACTCATATTCAGCCCCTCGGGCAAACCTCACAATCACTCATGCCTCTCGGAAATACCTCACAATCACTCATGCCTCCCAGTCACTCAGCACTCGGCACTCACACTCAGTAGGTACCTACGCTCACTGGGGGTGTGTGTACAGACTCAGGAGGGGCTCCTTCAGCCCAAGTGCTATATCAAGCCAAATCATGACATAAATCACTCAGGCCCTCGGCCTATATCAAACATGCTATGGCGTATAGCCCGATCCCATAAATATCCTCACAAATAAGGACCTTAGCCTTACTCAGTCATAAACCTCTCAAGCCACTCAGGCATTTCAGCAAAAATAAGGTACTCAGCCCAAAACAACATTTATATGCATCAAAATAGAGTAAGAAAAACTGAGTTATGCAGTAAACATGTATAACCATGACTGAGTATAGATTTTAAATCGAAAACAGCGATAGGATAGTAAGAAAAGGCCCCTAATGGTCCAAACAGCACTGGTACAAGGACCAAACATGGCATTCCGCCCAATTTACAGAAACTCTTTCTAAAACATATAAGTATCATATAGTTTCAACAAAATATGCAACTTTACAGTTGCTACGGGACGGACCAAGTCACGATCCCCAGCAGTGCACGCCCACACGCCCGTCACCTAGCATGTGTGTCACCTCACAATAGTAGAATGATCGAAATTCAGGGTTTCATACCCTCAGGACTAGATTTACAATCGTTACTTACCTCAAACCGGGTAAATCTCTACCCCGCGATGCTCTTGCCTCTCGACTCGGCCTCCAAATACTCTGAATCTATTCGCAATCAGTACAATTCCATCAATATACGCTAATAGAATAAATTCCACACAAAAAATTACCAATTCAGACCAAAATCTCAAAATTGGCTCAAGCCCGCCCCCCGGGCCCATGACTTGGAATCATGTAAAAGTCACAAATTACGAACACACATTCACTCACAAGTCCAACCATACTAGTTTCACTCAAATCCGACTTTGAATCGACATTCAAATCCCAAAAATCATTTTTATGAAGTTTCTACAAATTTCCACCTCAAAGTACTAATCAGATGATGAAATCATTGATATATTCATGTATATTAACCAAATTCGAGTTAGAATCACTTACCCCGATGAATTTCTTGAATAAACCACGAAAAATCGCCACAAACCGAGCTCCCTAGGTCCAAAATGTGAAATAATGCCCTAAACCATGTTTATAAAGTTCACCTCTAGTCTCCCACTTCGCGGTCCGCGAAATTCCGAGCGCGGCCGTGCCCCAGGTCCCGCGGTCGCAAAAACATAAATGGTGTGGCCGCAGTTTTGGTGGCTGCACTGCCAGGCTTTAATATTTTGGCCATAACATTCTCTATAGATGTCCAAATAATGACTTCTTTACCTTTATGGAAACTAGACACGAAGGGCTACAACTTTTGTTTTTAAATCATCTCCAAATTCCTTGTAGATCAAAAGATATAGGCTTCTGAAGTCGTACCAGCGGATCTCCAGAACTTTTCCCTAGAGTGCGGCCACGGCAGAATTATGCGGTCCACGAAATTCCAAGTGCGGCCGCGAAATTTTGTTGAGGTCCGCAAAATTCAAAGTACCAGAACCATACCTGAGTTCCAGAAATGCCCGGACTCGCTCAAAACTCACCCTGAAACACACCCGAGGCCCTCGGGACCTCAACCAAATATACCAACCAATCCTAAAATACCATACGAACTTAGTCGAACCTTCGAATCACTCAAAACAACATCAAAACACCAAATTACCCTCAGATTCAAGCCTAAGAACTTCTAAACATATAAATTCGATAACCGATGCCCAAACCAATCAAACCAAGCCCGAATAACCTCATATTTTGCACACACATCACAAATGACACTACGAATCCACTCCAACTTCCGGAATTCCATTCCGACCTCGATATCAAATTTTTCACTGCCAACCGAAATCGCCGAATTTCGCCAATTCAAGCCTAATTCTACCACAGGCCTCCAAATTACATTCCGGACGTGCTCCTAAGTCCAAAATCATCTAACAAAGCTAATGGAACCATACAAATCCACATACGAGGTTGTTTACTTATAAGTCAACATGCGATTGACTTTTCCAACTTAAACTCCTAAATAAGAGACTAAGTATCTCATTCCACTCCGAAACCACTCCGGACTCGAACCAACTAACCCGGTATATCATAACATAGCTAAAAAATATAAAAGAAAGCAGAAATGGGGGAAACAGGGCTATAACTCTAGAAATGACCGGTCGGGTCGTTACACGAATGAAGTACAAAAAATGTTTCAGAACATGAAAACGGAGATCATTACCGTGGTTCTTGGCCTCCCATCTACCCCTTGCCAAATCACGCCATGCGCGTTCGACATAAGTGGAAGTTGAGGCTAACTTCCGAACCCAATCTTCGAGGTCAGGTATCACTTGAGGCAAGCAAGAAATAGCTGCATGTCGAAAGGGGATATCAGGCGAAGTCGAAGAAGGTATGAATAAAAATGTTTAAAAGATCACTTACGGTCGAAGTTCCACTCCTCAGGGAACGACATCTTCTCTTCCGAGATAATGTTGCGGGTCCTCACCCATATAAAATGGCTCATCCAACCTCGATCCTTATCCTCGTTGATTCTCGAGATCAAGGCCTTCATTGCCCGGTGTTGAAGCCTGATTAGTCCTCGATAGATTCGAGGCCGGTATAACCGCATGAAGTGATTTAGAGTAAACTCTAGCCCATCGGCCTTGCTAGAAAAGAAGCGCAATATGATTACTATGCACCATAGAGATGGGTGGATTTGGCCGAGGGTGACCTGATATCTTTTCCAGAGATCAATAATCACTGGGTCGAGGGGACCCAATGTGAAGGGGTAAGTGTAAACACTTAGGAACCCCTCCACATAAGCGGTGATTCTAACTTCGGGAGCAGGAATTTGCACCACGACCTCGGGACCCCAGTTGCATTCCCTCTTCATGGCCTCGAGGCGGCTCTTCATTATCGAGCACATGTACATCGACACATGCTCACATCGACCCGGGATTGATGAAGGGTTTTCGACCTTGAAGATGGATTTTAGGGTACACGGGCCGGGAACATACTCATGGGGAAGCGGCTCCACCAGCACCTTGCCGCCGGACGGTCGGAAAGAGGAGCAAGATGCTTTCTCCTTGTGCGTTACGGTCTTTGAGGTTTTCGCCATTTGTATAAAGTAAAGAAGAGCGAAGAAAGATGAAAAACTGGTGATTTCGGTGCAACGAAGGTGTCTCTACAGACGGCGAAAAGGAGGAAACGGAAAGAGTGAAAAGACTTAGAGGTTTGATTAGAGCAAAAGTAAAGTTTGATTTAACGAAGGATCGGGTATTTATAGGCTCACGACGACAGTTCGGTGGCGCTAGTGGCTGACCGCTAACTGACAGGCATTAATGATTTGGGGAACTGAACCGACGGGACGTTTCGGTCACATCCATCACTTACGTCATGAGGACGACGTCATGATTAAGGTTTCGAAAAATCAAGGCTCAAACCGTTTCTTATCATTTTATTCCAAGAAATGCGGGGACTATCTGTATACGACCGAAATCGGGCATGTCCGATTTCATAGGCACGAGGAGCTGTCTCGAGAGTAAGACCGTAATAGACCAGGCTCGAGCTCAATGGCAGAGTATGGTGCATGAAGATCGAAGTGCTTGCTGAAGATCGAGACTGAGCATAACCGACTTCGAGTAAGGCATAATAATGGAATGGCGAGATATTAGCAACCGACCGAAGATCTCGGCGAAAATCCTAGAACAGATCGAATCAAGCGGTTATTGATGCCAATCATGGGATTTGTTTCCGTTATTAGAATTGTACCTTATTTAGGATTTCTCTACTATATAAAGAGGGGCCCCATTCATTTGTAAGGGGGATTGATTCACTGGTAAACATATACACATACACAGCTTTCTCTATTTCACTTACTATCTATTGCTGCTCATCACTGTTTATTTTCTGCTCTTTATTGTTCTTGTTACCCAACCTCGAGACCATCTCGAATCGAAGTCGAAAGCACTGCCAGAACACTGGTTTGATTTATTTTACTATTCAGATTATCTATTTAATTCCTTATTTATCAATTAGTATTGGATTAAATCACATATCCTTGAAACCACTAAATAAGTTTAACTTTTACTCGAATTTTAGGGTAAACAAATATAAACTTAAAAAGAGAAAACAATCACAATATTTAAAAGTTAAGAAAAATAAAAGAAGACAAAAGTTGATAATTTAGAGGGTAAATAGGTATTTGACAATTAAAAGTTTGTGAAATCTAGTTGAGTGACCTTCTGAGTGCTATAAGCATAGTTGAGTGACTTTGTTGTTACAAACGAAAAAATATGACTTTAGTTGGTAATTTCGGATAATTGAGTGACTATTTGAGTAATGGACTCGCAATTTGTTTTTCATCTCCCATAAGCTACCTAAATAAATTGTTGCTTTATTTTGTAAATCCAAATGTAAGCAATAACTTACATGCACAACAAAAGACTAATAATTGTATCAAAAAGACATTGTTAATAACATAACAAATCCTTTTACAATCCTTTGTAAGCAATTATGTTCACCACGAGACACTTGACATCCTTCTAAGTCTTCTCAGTTTGTTAGCAATCCATTGAGCTTTTGTTGGTTGTTTCATTTTCTCCTCCTAATACATCACACAGAGATATGAACAAATTACAAGATAGCTGTAAATAAATAAATAAATAAATAAATAACTGAATATAAATTACAATTAATCTTAAAACATATTTATGTATAAAGATATTTATAAAGGAGAGATACTCATACTCATACCTCATCTTTTCTTCTGGTTGCAATTTGAGCCTTGGCCATGTAAAAAAAGAAAAAGAAAAAGAAAAGAAAAAGAGTAAGTGATAATAATTAAAGGTGCCATATGTGTATTTAATAATTCATCCCATACCAAGATCCGTGTGATTTTATTTTATTTTTTGAGTAAGAATTTAAGTTATATACATCAAATTTTTTATTCGATCGTCGGGTCACCTTTACATGTTTTAACAAGTAATTTATCTTATTTTCAAAATTATAAGTCTCAAATTTTAAGATGGCTTACATATAAAAATATTTTTTATTGACCGAATAGCGTATAAAGTTCCTTGCACCAACTATATATATAATTTAATAATATTTTCATCTTTCATCTTACCACAAGTAACTTGAGTTTTTCATTCTCTTCTCTCAATCCGTTGAGTTCTATTTCCAATTCTGCTGTATATGCCTGCATCATCGAAAAGTTCACTTCATCAACCAATCAAAAGTTAAAACTATAATATTATTGAATTAGGAAGGACTTATTAACAACAAAAAAAAAAGAATTAGAAAGGACTTAACAACGTCCAAGTTTAACAGCTTGTTTGGATGGTTGTTACCTATTGTATTGCATAGTATTGTTACTTTAAATACGATTTAATGTTACTTAAATTTTATTGTATCGTATCGTTTACGTAACGACGAAATGTGCCACTTTATGTAATGACCGATATGGTGTGGTCGCGTCGTTAACTTGTCTTTTTCTCTCATCTCACCCTTCATTATTATTAAATAATTTTATTTTATTATTTATCCTATCTTTCTATATAATAATTTTACCCCATATCATAGTTTTTCTTTATAATATTGCAAGTTTATTCTTCATATTGATGGTGTGTGATATCATGAAACAATGACAAACGATACAATCTATCCAAATATTATATTCAACAAATGATACAGTATATACAATACGATACGATACATTATGAAACGATACGTAACAACTATCCAAACAAGCTCTAAATGTAATAAGAGACCAATAAATTGAAAAAAAGGGAGCAGTATGCTATGATTTTTACTTTATTGTAATACCATGAATCAAACTACTAGTGGTTGGGTTTCTTCACCAATTTATAGAAAAGTTTAAACTCTTACTATTATAATAATACTAGTCAAGTTGTCCGCGCTTTGCGCGGTCATAAAAGAAAAAAATTATTGAATATATTATATGATCAAATTGATAACTTATCGAGATAGAAGAGACATATTTTTCATGCATTATATATACTTATAAATATTTCAACATATCTAATTCAAATATTTGTTTACTCACTTGACTAACTCCCAAATAGAACATTGAGCAGTATGCTATGATTTTTACTTTATTGTAATACCATGAATCAAACTACTAGTGGTTGGGTTTCTTCACCAATTTATAGAAAAGTTTAAACTCTTACTATTATAATAGTATTTTTATTATCCAAAAGTAGACTCTTCTTTTAAATATTTGTGTTAGAGAATGCTACATTTATTTTTACAGATTATTTAAGGGCTTCAAAAAAATTTAAAAATTTTCTGAGTTTCTCCGCTCATCGCACGATCACATAATGCAATATGATATCATAGTAAAATAAAAGTCATGAATTTAAATCTCATTGTCACCCGATAACTTTTAGCTCACGACCGAAACTGTTTATATCTGGTAGCTGTAAAGTGTATAAAATTTGTATATTTTTTATATATAATATCCAAATAACATATATGAAAAAAATATAATTTTTCAGCTATTATTTTGAGAACCACTCTACATTTTCATCATAATCAGACTTAAGTGGTGCGGTGAAGATACAACTAAACACTGTAGCATTCTCTAAAACTTTGACGGTAAAAAATATCATTTCAATAGACTATCAATCAACTATGCTTTAATTAGGGTGTGTTTGGTATGAAGGAAAATATTTTTCGAAAAATATTTTTTAATTTTTTCATGTTTGGTTGACTTAAATGCTTTGGAAATATTTTTTTCATGAACTCATTAATTACAAGAAAAATGTTTTCCCTATCAAGAAAAAGAAAATATTTTTCAAAAATTCTTTTTCAACCTTCCCCACTAACACCCACTAGTTAAATTCCATTGGGGGAAGGGGATGAGGAGAGTAGCATAAAAAAAATATTTTCCTAAAAAAATATTTTTTACTCTCTAACCAAACACTAAAAAATATTTTTCGGAACACATTTTTCACTCACCAACCAAACAAGGAAAAATAAGTGATAAAACCACAAATTTTTCACGAAAACATTTTCTAGAAAAATATTTTCCATGAAAAATATTTTCCTTCGTACCAAACACACCCTTAATCACAAACAGTTATGATCGATCATTTTTTACAACAAATTATCTCTTGACTTTTGACGGATTAACCCTCATTTATGCGCCGTTTTACTCTAAAAGGAAAATGAGTTTTCCCATGGTTTCCGAGTGAAAACTAGAAATTAATTTGAGACAAAATTAAGATTAAAAAAATTGTTACCTGCTTTCTAGCTCTAGATCTTGCAGCAGACTCTCTATTCTTAATCATTCGACGTTGTCTCTTTTCCATTACTGTTGCTTCTATTGAAACACTTGATGATCTTCTTCTGCTATTGTTAATTGGTTCACTAACATCTGATGCACTGTTGGAATTTTCAATATTTTCTTTATTTGTTGTAGTGATTTGATCTGAAATCTGGTGGCCATTAATGAAACCACCATTAACTTGTTCAAAGATTTGATGATGTGTTGAAGAAGAATCAGCATCTCCTTTGCCATTTTCAGCACACTTTGAGTGGCTAAGGAAAGCATACCTTGAATGTTGTCCTGCAGGCAAAATGTTTCCATGAAAAAGATGCATTATTACTTTGAAAATTTGATTTTTTTTTCATTTTTTGATTTTTCATCCGGTTTTCGATACCCATATTGGGTCTCGACTAATCTAGAAAAATAAATAAATTAAAGTATTTTATAAAAATTTTACTAGAACAATTGCATTATATTGGATTTTTTTTGTTTCTCATCCGGTGTCCGGTATCTACGTTGGAGCCTCACTAAATTCGGTTCGCGCCGAAAAATTCCACGTATAAATGCTTCTTTTTTTGGTTCCCCGATGTCTGGTACTCACATTGGGCCCCTGACTAAATTCGGATTTACGTCAGAAAGTCCTGAGAGGTAAAACACTCTCTAACAAAGACAATTTCATACTAAGAGCTTGAACTCGAAATATTTGATTAAGGATAATGAGCAGTTGTCATCCACTACCACCCTTGTCCGTGTATTTGACTCTCTAATTAGTAAAGATGTCATTCTTACGAACATATAAATGCTTGTGTAAAGTGGGTATTAAAATAGGGATGAAAAGTTAAAAAGAATAAAGTGAAAAGTTATGGCCTAGTGGTCAATAAAATGAATCTTAAATCATGATGTCTTACTAGAGGCGAATCTATGTGTAGTCTAAGGGTGATCAACTAACACACTTCGCTGAAAAATAATACAGTAAAATATTAGTACTTGTTATCGATAACAAAAAAAATAGATTTTGAATGTCCTTGTATAGCCCACTCACAAATGGTGTTCAAAATTTGAACACTCTTACTGAATTTCCTGCTTCGACACTAGGTCTTGCGTTTAAATATCAACAAAGAATATTAGGTAATTTCTTTTCATTTGTCCAATCCTTGATGGATAGAACTACCTAGTATCTATGTTGATAAAATGTGGCAGGTACTCTGTAAAATTAATTAAGGTGCACGCAAACATGTTTGAACACCATGGTTATGAAAAAATGAGAAAGTGAAAAAGCGGCTACAAATATATGTTACCTTCTTTTGTAGGAATATCTTGATTTGACTTGGGAGTAACTTGATTTCCTTCATTGTCCCAAAAATTATTGAGTAGGTCATCTAAATTCATAGACCCATAATTTCTTCCCTTCTTGCTTTGAAATTCATTCAAGGTTAGTGAAAATGCTGAGTTATTTTGTCTACTCGATGAAGAAATTGAATGGTATTCTGAAGGTTCTGCTTCTAAATTGACTTTACAATAGTCAACACTATCATTCTCAGATACTTCCATTCCTTACCAGCAACTTCGTCAAATCTCTGCAAATGGTAAAAGGATTAGTTTTAGTAGAAACATAACATTATAATTTTTGGGAAAAAGTAGTATTTGGAGTTAAGTTAAAAAATAATATTTGAAATTTGAAATTATGTTTGGACATGCATATACTTGAAAAATTATTGCAGTTTTATAAGTGAAGAAAAATGTTTTTCTAAGAATATTGAAAAAGTGGTCAAAATCATTTTTTTGTTTTTGAAAAAATTCATTTTTGAAAATTTTCAAATGCTTACAAAGTTTCATGGACAAACACATTTTTAAAAAGAATTTTCGAAAAAAAAAAATTTATAGACAAACGGATCCTTAAGTTTAATAGGTCAAGGACGGAACGAAGAACCAACGTTTTTCTTCCTCCTCTTCTATCAATATAAACCAAAAAATTAAAAAGAAAAACTTAGTCTATGCCATGAATCTAATTTTCAATTTGTTATCTGAGACGCACTGAAATATAGGAAAAAGGAAAAAAAATATTAAACATCAAAAATAAATTAAGAAGAGAGATGAATTTAGGATTCGATTCAATAAACATGTAATACCTGCATTGCACCGCTGCATTTTTTGACAAGAGGTGATTTAACATGTGTTTATATACACGAAAATCAAATATGAATTTTTAGTCACACAATCCAAAATATAAATTTATTAAAATTGGTGATAGTAATTGGTGATGGTGGTACATGTTGTTAGAGACGATTCAGAATTTTGAGTTATAAGTTCTGGATCGTAGAAAAAGAAAAAGAAATATTACTAAACTTTGGATAAACTATTCCACTAGAAACAAGAAAGGGAAGAGGAAAATGGCCATGAAGGCATAGGGGTAAGGAGTAAGTTTGCCTTTGTCTTTTCGGTTTTTTATTTCCTTTTCCTTATTTTTTCCTTTTCTCTATTTTTTTGGTTTTATTTTTATCTTTCGTTTTCTCCTTTTAAGTGTTTTAAATAGGTAAAGATCATTTTTAGTCCATCGTCAAAACTGTTTACTTGTAGTAGCCGTAAAAGTGTATAAATTTTATATTATATATATATAACAAAATCAAATTAGTTAATAAAGTGAGATTTATCAGCTTTCTTATTGATTATGTGAAAAAAATTAGTAAAATCACGATAGTTAAGTCGTCTTGCAGTCTTTTCATGATATAAGAGTGAGTTCAATTCCCATTCAAAAAGTCCGTCACTTTTCATTTTCTTGATTATTTGTTTTAATTTAATTACAAGAGAAGCAGATGGAGAGCATGAAACAACACTAACATATTTAGTGAAATCTCACAAGTGACGTCGGAAGAATATTATGTACGCAGACCAGTGGCGAAGCCACATGGTCATAAGGGTGGTCAATTGACTACCCTCCGTCGAAAAATTACACTGTGTATATAGGTAAAATATTATGTTTTAGAGGTTTATAACACATATTGAATATCCTTTGTCTAGAACTTTTTTCATTTGTTTTAAATTTGAACACCCTAAAGGAAATTCCTAACTTCGCTACTGACGCAGGCCTTACCCTTATCTTTGTGAAGTTAGAGTGACTGTTTTTGATAAACCATCGGCTCAAGAAAAACATACCCAACAATAATTAAGAGAAAAAATGATAGTGAAAAAATATAAAAATAGTAACAACAACAAGAAAAATAAGATAAATGAAGCAAAGAACTTAGACATTTCAAATTTCATTTTAAATTCGATAACCTTTAAAAACTTTTAAATTGGAACAAAGTCATCATCAAGGGGAAAAAATAGAAAAGAAGGGAGGGAATCAACATACTTTAAGATGAAAGTTGAGATCCAATATCTTCCTTAGCAGAAATAGTTTCAACAAAATCTTCTCTGAATTGGATGTTTTTAGATATCAAAAATTTTCAAGCATTTTCACAAGCAGGAAAAGGTATGAGAAGAGTAAAGTAAAAGAAGAAAGCAATAATGGAGAAAAGAGAGTTAAAATTTAAGAGAAATTGAAGACACGTCCATAAGATCATATTGACACTTGCCAACAATTTTCACTGAAATTAAGTGCGTTTCAATCCATAGTTTGTACTCTTTTGCAGTTTGTTAGTTTTGGGAACTCCGCCCTTTAGCTCTTAAATTTTTGAGTCAAAGTTATATGTTTCATATTTGTCAAGCTGATTATATGTACTATTTATTTTTTAAGATTTGATAACCTGATGTTAAGTTTCATAAATGTTAAATCCTTTTGGTAATTATAGTTTTATTCTGAAACATTAGAAATAAAAATTATTGAGACATCAAATTCCCATGAACCATTGTTAAGAGAGGTCAATTCGTCAACGACTTGAGAGCATATTGATTCTTAAAATTAGTAAGAACCATTTTCTTCTGTTTAGACACCTTTGCTTTTTTTAATTTGGGATCTTTACCCAAATAGCCCGCCATGTTAATTGTTTACTTTTTATAGTATATACATAGATTATACATTAATTATACACATACAATACATAAATTATGCATATATTATACCTCCACATTTTATTTTATTTTGGTAAATAGTATTTTGTATTCATTCCAAAAGTATCTTTACAAAGCAAGTAGATGCTGACCATCCACAATTCTAATTACATCAATTCTTGTAGTCTAAGTATGTAGATACTCTAACTAAGTGCCTAACAAGATCATCACTGATTACATTGTAGCCTAAGGATAACAATTCAGCTGATTAAGTGCTCCTTGCCATTTCTGTATTGACCTTCCTCTAGTGTGTATATGTATTGCAATTTCTCTGCATATGCTATCAACTATTATTGTCCTTCCATGGAATCTGAGCTTGTTCCTGTCCCTCCATATAGTGTAGATCAGCATGCCAAATACACAGGTCACTATTGCCCAATGTCCATTTTTTCTTGTAGAGGGAAGAAAGTATTGGTATGAGTTCACCCAGTAGACAACGGATGTCTAATTGAGGGGATACTAAAAGAGTACTTATAAAAGTTCTTTTTTCTTACCTAGGTTGAATTAGGTTTTAAGACGTCACGGTTATCAGTTTCTTGGTTGTCTTCTTTCTTATCCTTATCATGCTATCATTAAAAAAAATTGTGTTTGCATTTCATATGTTATGCATGTAATGAAGTTCTTGTTTCATTTTAGATGACCAACTACCAATTAGTGTTTGTTTCATAGATTTACTTATAGTAATTACCTTATAAGTAACTTAATTGTATAAACACATGACTAGACTAGTATAATAAACACATACGAATCTTCTTCGATGAGCCCCCATACTTATTGAACCTCCTGTGTGCAAGGAGCCACCTTTGTCAGACAAACGAGCTGCCTTTGCCAATTCACTTTTTTTTTAAAATTCCGCAGAGACCCAATACTCAGTTAGTTTAGTCCATATATCCTTAGTAATCCAACCTGGCATCTCTTTCTTATCTGGAGCTTATCGAAGCATATCAGTCAACCTAGCAGCACATTTCTTAAAAAAGACGCCTCGTACCTCTGCCTCACATTCAACTGGCCAAGCACACTTCATCTGCAAATAATTAATTTGTTAGATTGGTTAAATATGATTTGAAAAATGAAATAATTTATTTTACCCTAAATTCATCAAACATCCTATCCCTAATGTTCCATGGAACATCTGACCAAAACCTCCAAGGTCCATGATAAAATGAACATATTGATTCAACCACAACTTTTGTAGCTTGAGTACAAGGATGAAACCTGCATTAAATTAAACATGTTAGAAACCAGATTTATAATTAATTATAAAATAAACAAATAATACTTACC